AGCACTTTTCTATATGATAGGTGCTGTATAAATAAAATGTGTCATTCTTTTATCATTATACAATGTGACCTTGTTATGTTTCTGTACAGCTCATTAGCCTGGACTCCTGAATGCAAACGCTTTTGAGAATAAATACACAAGCACAAGACTTCATCCAGCTCCTGAAAATAACTTCATGCCTTCACCCTGCAAGGTTTAACTCAGGCTAAACATTTCCCTCTTAATCCATCAACTGATACTGTGGGTGGACATGCACCTGTAGACAGCAGAGAGCATCAGTGCTCCATTGTTTCTTGTTGCCTTGCTAATTGTTGCTTCAAGAAGAAAGTCAGTTAATGAGTGACATCCTAAACGCAGACACACAACGAGGCAGGCATGTGCACTGAAGATGTTCAAGAGGAAGAAACAGGCTTACAGAGGCTGGGAGACGCAGAGGTGGATGTAGAACAGGTCAAATCCAAGCTGTCAACAGAGCAAACCAACAGACGAAGGGAGAGACACAGGAAGTACTTATAGACAAGGGGGCGAAGTTAATGAGACACAGGTGAGCAGAAGCAGGAAGTAAAACAGCAGTAGACGCATGATGGAGGTAAACTTCCAAAATAAAACAGGAAATAATGACAAAGTCCTGACAGACTGAAATAACGTCACTCGGGGGGAAGGTAAAGATTTTTAACGGAAGATTAGATGATAAAAAACAAGATGAAATAAAGAACACATAAAGCTAAGTAAGAACAGATGTACAGCAGCCCTAACGAGCAAAGGGATTCAAAGAGCTTCACGTAAGATATGCAAGTCATCATGATAAATGTAAAAATAAATATGAGACAGAAAAAAAAAGAAATAAAGAGTAAGATGAGCTAAGATCAAACTGCTAGTCTCACTCTATGAGGAAATGTAAAAAGGTGATAGAAAAACATTGAATAATATAGTTTAAGTACAAAATATACAAATATAAACACAAAAACAAGGAACTAAAAAAAATCAAACACTTAATGATTTAATTTAAATATTCAGTGAGTGAGAAGAATTCAATTTAATTCAATTTAAAGTACAGACTTAGTTTATGGAAATGTTGGAATGTTGTGTTGTATCTGCTCTTCATGAAAATACTGATATTTACTGTTATCCGTAGTTTGACATTTCATTTCACAGTTTATTTATTTTATCTTGAAGTCCACGTGACTGGTTTCCGGTCTCAGCTCAGGGTCTTGACCTATGGTCTTGACGGAGGTGGAGGAGGGAAACTATGACGTAGCGCCTCTTTCCCACCAGACGGTGGCGCTGCAGTTTAAAGACGCTACAGGTGAATTATGGGAAACTACAGGTGGATTATGGGAAGTCACAGCAATTTACGCCGACGTATAAAGTACGTGAATTACGTAGCGTATCTAATCAGGAATCGCACTTTGTTTTGTTTTCGCGTGTTTTGTTTACACGCATGTTCCCGTTAGCATTGTTAGCTTAGCAGGTCAAAGGTCATGGGACAGCGGCCGAGTCTTCACTTTCAGGTCTGACGTCATTGAGACGCGTGTTTTCTGGGACTGTGCGTCACCAGGACAACCAGATCCACGTGAAACACGAGCCGATGAGTCCACGAGGAAGTGACACGTCACGCGGAGGTCGTAGATTATTCTGATGATCTTCATTCCGAGATTCACAAGTAAGGAAACGTTAGATTGTCCGATTTTTACACGTGGTTTGGTTTGTCAGAGAGTCAACGTCCCAAAGTCTTATCATTGTTTAACTGCTGACAACAACACAGTGAGATTACTTCACCTGAAATTTAACACATATTAAAAACACACTATTATCATTATTATTGTTGTTGTTGTTGTCGTTATACATATTTAGAACTTTATTATATTATTATATAAACATAAGAAACATGTCTGGCCTCCCTGTCACACTGAGTCCTGCTCATTCTCTTATATATTGATTTTTATGACTTCGCTGTCAATGCACTTTGTATATCTCTGTTTTTGAAAAGTGCTACATCAATATATGAATAAAGTTTATTATATATATATATTGTTTAAATTCCAGCTGTGCTCCCTGTGAGAAGCCATGTTTCCTGTCGACTTTCCAGATGTGACCGACACTGACCTGACATCAGCCTCTGAACGGTTTCTCTCTTCTCTGGAGTCCAGACCTCCTGATAACGAGTGGTTTGGGTTGTCACAGACGTCCAAAGTAATCTTTATTATTCATTTCATCAACAACACAATCCAGAAAACTCCCCTCTTTGATCGTCTCTTTATTTACTCTTGTCAAATGAAATGTGTTTTATTTTGAAATCTAACGCTCTTGGCAAAGCGTTGAATTGAATGAATCTGGTTTTTCTTCTTCTCTGCTCAGGTGGAGATCTCGTCAAACAACGTGAGGCTGCTGCGGCTGTTTGAGGAGGACGGACCCGACTGTGCGGTGCTGGCTCTTCATCCTCCTGATGATCCAACGCAAGGTTTAAGACTGAAACACACAAACAACACACACAGCAGTACACTCACTTTATTAGGAACACGTACACCTGCTCATCTAGTCATGTGGCTCATTTCTTAGTTCTCTATTGAGAACTTGCTTTGTGAATAAATGTTCATGCTACATATGAATATAATGTAAACACGAGGTAATATAATAAATATCAGTGTAAACAGGATCGTGAAGAAGACATTGTTGTTATTATGTTGAAATGTATTAATATAATAATCATATAATGTGTAATGTTAACATGTTAGTGTCTTTTTCAGACTGTTGTATTTAACTGGTAATATCAGAATATTGTATGTACACGTGTGTGATATGTATGTATTCATGAGGAGACTAATGTTTCCTCCATGATCTTCCAGTGGTGGCATTATACCTGCGTGAGAAGTGGTGGCGTGTGGATGACATCTTACGGACGTCCGGCAAATCCAGATGTGGTTTGGTGTCGGTAAGTTTGTTTGTCAGCATCAGGAGACAGCAAGAAGAAATCAAAATAAACAGAAGAACACTAAAACACTAATTCATTGCAGTATAATTCATGGATGTTGAGGAAAATGAATATTGAGTGTATTTAAAGAACTGTTGGGCCAGAGAAAGGTTTGTTCACTCGTTGTTTTCATTTCCTCCAGAGTCGTGTAAATCTTGACCTGTACAGTTTGTGGTCCTCTCTCCTGTTGAGCCTCCTAAGTCGACGTGTTGTTCTCAGGTGGAGTCGCTCATGGAGAGGCTAATCGTGTTCCTGCTGAGTCAGGTAGTGGAGAGGTCTTCACAGGAGGGGGCGCTGTTCTCCTTGCACCCCTGCACAGAGAGTTGCAAACTGCTGTGGACGGACAGCCAGGCCGTCGGCTTCTACTCCGTCAAACACAAAGGTACGATGGACAAATGTGGTTTTTGTTTCATTTAAATGTAAGTGATTTAGTTTTAACTTGAGTTTTTCTCCCTTAAAATCACAGTAAATTCTGCACCTGTCGATCCGCCTCCACGTTACTGTATGACTCACTGGGCTCCATGTTTTTCTTGGCACACGAGGTCACAGCCGCACACAAACAATGTCCGTAAACACGTCTCCAGGTGATTTACATCTGCAGCAGAGGGAACATGAAGCTGCAAGAAGAGGAAGGAGTTGTGTAACGCAGAATTAAACCCAGATGTGTGTGATCACCGGGGGAAATGTTTACCCCCTCACGATGAGATTCTCTTTGTTTGCTTCTGAACACGTTATCCTATGAACACCTCAATGTCCTTTTAAATCCTTTTAAATTTGACACAAATGTTCAGTTAGACTCAAAGATGAAGTGAATAGATTGTGGTGGTTAAAGGTCAAGGTCATGGTGATCTCACATGTGTCTGGAATTAAACATATCTAGACGGAACCTGCATTAATTGGCAGAAGCACAGAACTGTGGATTGTTATTCTAGTATTATACGGTTCTATGGAGCGCCCTCTAGTGGATAAGCAACTTAGCAGGTCTGTGAAAAGCTCACAAGGCGTCTGGTTTTCTAGATGTATGTTTTCTGTAATGTGCTCGACTGTGACTCACCATGTAAGTGAGGGTCAGTCCAACAGCCTGAAGCAGGATTCACTGCAGGACTGTTGCATGAGATGATGTTTGTTACAACCAGCTGTGTGTAATAATCTGCCTGCTGCTTTCAATAAAAGGACTTGTGTTATATTAGTAAACGTGTGGCAGTGACTCCGCCCCTGCTGGTGTTTCAGGCAGCCTGTGCGACGGCCGGAGCGCTCGCTGTTACCTGCTGCCTGTCCTGGACACCGTGCTGGTGAGGAGGAGCCGGAGGAGGAGAGGCTTCGCTCTTCAGATGCTCCAGGATTTCTGCTCCTCATTCGCCACAGAAGAGTTTCTGGGCGTCAGCTCTCCGTTATCACCCAGCATGGCGGCAGGTCAGCTTCGGTTTGTTTCCTGTCTGTCAGCAGGATTCCTCAGAATGTTCTGTACAGATTTCCACGAAACCTGCTGGAAGGATGGAACACGAGCCAAGAGAGAACTCATTAAATCTGAGGTGGATCCCAGAGTTTCATGATCATGATGAATACAATCAGACGTGTTTTATGGGACTGATATTTATGAGTGTGTGAACTTTGGTGCAGATCCAATAAAATCTGGATCTTGTGAATTTACATGTGGTTTCAAAAAGTGGAGTGTTGAGCCGCGGCGCAGGTGTGAGCAGCACTGAGGTCCCTTTAGTTTCTTTATGTAGTTTATTATCAAGAGAATCATTTTATTTGACATATTTGTAAGAAATATACATATGAGCAGCTTTGGCAGAAGACATTGTATGTATGTGTATGTGTCTCTTCCCTTCTCCAGAAGACTCAAGCATGTTTGTTCTCTTCATACAAAATACATTTCTGGTTGAGACGATGAAATGAACGTTGCTCTGATTAGACGTCTCGGTCTGGATTCAAGTTAACCGTCGCTAGAGGACCAGAAAACGTGTCCTCCTCTATTCCCACGAGATCTCAGGTGGTCCTGACTGTCAGAAAGCTGAGGCGAGCAGTGTTGTGTTATGTGAATCCAGTGCAAATGTGTGTTCCTCTTCTGAACTGTTTGTGTGTCTTGTGTTGTGCTCAGTGTGCAGGAAGTTCCTGCAGCAGCACGAGGAACACCGGGAGCGTCTGTACGAGGTGGAGGCTCCAGGCGGCTGGGCTCAACGACGAAACATCTGGCTCAACATCCAGTTCGGACGCTACTCCCTCAGTGCAGATGATATTTAACTCTGTTGTGCTGCCATGTCTTTAAGATTTTCATCATCATGCTACATAAGTGAAAATACTTCCTGAGGATTCCAGAGTGTTCTGTGCTTATCTACATTTAATTCTATTTCTATTTTCTACAAATGAAACTTTATTATGGGCACATGTAGTTTAATGTCATAGTGTTGATCCAGTGGTGGGATCGGTGCTCAGACTCTTACAGGTCCAGTGTGTAAGACTCCGGTGAAAGAGAATCTAAAATAATCCTGCTGATGTTTTTACTTTGTGAACCAAAAGTAGTTTTACATGTGTTTTATACTAAATCATCATAAAGTTGACTTCACCTGATGATTCTTATTCATTTCTTTAGTTAGTTAACACTTTGTTAAACAACAACGTTCATTTATTAACACGAATTGAAATTCTTACTTACTTCACTTTAGTTTCAGAGTGAAATGAGTTAATACCCGCTCAGTTACGGTCACGCGGCGGGACGAGCCGCTTCCACAAACGAACGCGCCTCTCTGTGGAAACAGGAAGTCAGAAAACAGGAAGTTAGGAAACAGGAATAATCGGAGGATAAGTGACAGTAAAGTTTTTTAAACATGAGCCGAATTTATCACGACACGTGTTTACAGAACAAACCGGTTCACAACGAGGTGTTCACCGGTGTTTGGTCTCCGTCCGCGTATGAAAGGTGGGAAACTTAGACGATTACTGAACGTAACCTGGTGTCAGACTGTGTGTGTGTGTGTGTGTGTGTGTGTGTGT